AAAAAAAAGATAACCTAAAAATTCACAATTTCAAAATAAAACAAACCTTTACCAAAATATTCAAAGAAACTTCACTTAATAAATACTGTTAAAGAGATTTTTTTATGTAATGAATTCTTTAAAATTATAAATTCAATTCACATTAAGAAGAAATCAATCAAAAAATATTGCGTTTCAATTAAAATGACCTTATAAAAAATACAGGAATTACCCCAAATATTTCCTTGGCAACAAATATAAAATGTAAAAAAATAAAATAAATAAATCAAGTTTATAACTTAAAATGACAAATCAATTTAAGTTATTTCCAAAATTCAGAAAATTTTTGATAACTTTTTTGATGTCTTACAAAAATATGCAAATAATAATTTATTTTATCTATCAATAAATAATGGAAGTTTTATTTGTAATTTATTATCAAAAGCAGCCTTTACAAAATTAGCATAATTTTGTCAGATTAACAGCTTGATCAGTTGTAACATCATGAATATTAAATTTTCATCATGCACTATATTCTACTGCAGAGATATAATCATGTAGAGTTATACATCACGTACATATTAGCATAGATGAAAGTAATTATCCTACTTGTATTACTTCGTATCAGGTTGGTGATTTCAAAATTTTATAATAAAGTTATCAAAAATCTTATCTATTGACAATACCCAAATTGTTTCTTTTCAAATATTGAACAATAAGAGTTGGCCTTTTATAGATTAAGAAATATATGGGAATAAAAAAGAAAAATTGAAATTACTTTATAAAAAGGTAAGAAAAATTGTTTCATAAAACTTTAGGTAAGCACCAATAACAAGCGGGGGGGGGTGTCAAAGCAGGTTTGTAAAAGATTAAAATAAAATTATAAAATAAGCTTGCCTGCTACAATAAATAACAGAAGAATAAATGTTTAAAAAAAAGATACTGAGCATGATGGATAGGGAGGACATGTATTGTTAATGAGAAGAAATGTTTCAAAATTAAACTAACATTCTCTCCAAAGACTATCTTGTACAACTACCACAAACATTGAGAGTTTCTTGTAATATATTCAAGCTCATTAATAATTAGAATCAATTTTTTTTATGACAAAATTCACCAAAACATTCATTACAGAACAAGAAAATAATATTCACTCAAGCATTCAGTAAGGAAGCTAATACTCATAGATAATCATATTTTAAGTATAAAATGAATGACACTACAACCTTGCATCAGCATCCAGACTGATTGTTGACAGCACTATACTATTTTCATTGTTAACTGCTTGTTTAAGAAAAAGCTACCTTATTTTTTATATATATTATTATTATACTTAAAAGCAATGCACTTTTTATCTAACTTCAGAATGTTTCTCCATGTTTTCAGTATAAAATTTAAAAGAAAATTATTAAAACCAGGTGGCACGAATGCACATTTTTGCAATTAGAAAGTCACTTATGTATTCACAAAATAACTGACACCTCAGGAAAATCCAGCATTAATGGATAAAAATAATTCAAAGCAAAATATGAAAATTCAAAAACGTCAAATGTTTTTTTTTTTTTTTTTTAAATCAAAATCAGTTAACCTTGCTTTTATGCGGAAGTTACCTCCCTTAGCATAGCGTTTGTAAACAATGGTTTACATTTCAATTAGTAATTAAAAATTGTGAGTGATAGTTGTCAGTATGAACAGATAAACTCATTTCGCTGCCTCTTACAAACAAGGAAGTATGCATGCAAGAGAATTTGTGCTGTTATAATGAAGTATAGTCAAGTGATAAAAACCTGAATCATATCAGATGCATTCGTTGCACAAAACATGTTAAAAAAAAAAAAAAAAAAAAAAAAAAAAGATTCAGTAAAGATATTTTAAGACAAAGAAAAATCATAAAATCAATTGATCTATAAACATGCACGTGCACGCACACATACACACAGTCACAAAAGTACTGAGGTTGGTTTATGACAATGCAGTATACCATAGTGTCCTTTAAATTGAAAAGGACTTCCACCTCATTATTTAAAAAAAATCTACTAAATCCACTAATCAGTATGTCAGGTATTTCAGAGATCATTTTACTTTAGAAAGGGAAGAGTTGTAAGTTGGGATAATGTTATAAAGAAAAAGTCAAAAGTACAGATAAATTTGAAGTACCTGGAGAAAGGGTGTTTCAATAATATAAGTCGATGTTAATAACTTATTCAATTTAGAAAAAACATTTTTTTTTAAAAAAACTACACATTAATTACAGAGCATAATTTATAATCCATGCTACATGAAGCATATTTGATTAAAATATAACTATTTGAAACTTCAAATCTTAGCATCTATAATTTCACTGCCACAGAAGAAATAGCTGGTTTTGAGAAACTCCTAAGAAAGGTTTTTTTTTATGTATAAAGAGCAACAAATTATATAGTTTTAGTAGTATTTTTTTTTTTCCATTTAAAAGTATTTATTTCTAAAGCCACAACACACACAAATTTGTCATTATATATATATATATATATATATATATATATATATAAATAAATAAAATATAGAAATGTGACTATTAGTAACTATAAAAATGTACAGTGCCTTCAGTAGATGAAGTCCACCAAAAAGGTTAGTTTGATATAAGAAATATATAAAAACTTTTTCTTTGTGTCGTATAGAAATAAAGTGTCACTGCCAACACTTGGGTTTGAACATGGATTGCCAAAGAGTAAGCACAGTCGACTAGAAATAATTAGATCGTGATGAATAAAGAAAAAATATTTATATGGGAATCAGCAGTGTCTGACCTAGTATTGTTCGAAGGTGTTACTATTGTTGTATCTGATTTACAAAGTCTCTCCTACAAACAGGCATTACAAAACTTTATTTTAAATAAATGCTGGATTTGAAATCTGAAAACTCAATATTTTTACACTGAATAATTCACAATGATCTCATTATTTACTGTGCCATCATATAGTGAGTGTTGGTTCAATTGGCAGGAAAGACCTGTCTGAAGCCCAAAGCAGCCATATTGTTTTCCTTCCTAATTCATTGTTCCAACACCTTTAAAAACCAAGGTCAATCAATAATCATAATTTCAAAGAATTGCCAAAAATTAAGAGTTGACCTATATACAAAGTATGTTATTTTGCTGTGTTTTAAATTTAAACTGTTTAAATAAAAAAAAACATAAAAAAATGACAGAGGATGAAAATTAAAATGAAATTACTTGGTCTTCCCATGGCCATAAATTTAATGTTACCACTTTCAAACAAAAAAGAAAAAAGTCAGATACTAAAACTTGGAAGGAGGACAAAACAAGTGAGAAACAGAAAAGAAATATCTACACAGTTATCACTTTGACATATGGAACACTCTTGCAGATATAGTGTAATAACAGAACAGCAAGGAAATTTGATATGCTATACCAGATGCCAGATTGGTGAGACTATTAAAAACTCAAATTTCTATAGCCAAATACTCCTACCTAAAGAATTTTTGGAAAAATGTGTAATATCTTTACTGAATGAAATCAATTTAATAAATAAACTTATATACATATTTCTATCAATGGTTAGTTTAATAAAAAGAAAAAAAGTGGGACACAAAGAGTTAATTAGAAAAATAAACAATTATATATATAAAAAAAAAAAAAAAAAAAAAAAAAAAAAACAAGAAAAATAAATTTCTTACAAATCATAAACAAATTTGTTCAAATTTTATAATATAATCAGTCTGACACCAACAAGCAAATATTTTTTTCAAAAATTTGAGAGAATTTGGGAAAATGAATTTTGTAATTCTGGTTTAACTTTTAAAATATGTGCTTCATGAAGGTGTTTGGATTTTGAATGCAAAAGATAACAAGCAAGACTAATTTTACAATTTAAGTCAAATTTTGTTTTTAAGATAAAAAAGTGGATAGAGAAACAGTCATAAGATTTGCATATTCATTCAATTCAGATTAATACAATTGCAGACAAAAAAAAAAAAAAAATAGAAATTTTGCACAGGAGAGCTTTCAATATATTTATTTATTTATTTATTTTTTTTTTTTAATCAAAAATCACTAAAATATGAAGTGTTAAATTATAAAATGTCATAACAAAAGAGACTTATTTGTAAGATAATTAGAGGTAAGCAATCATTATAGATAATAAGGAACTTAATACAGTACTACTCACCTTTAACTAGAGTTAGTTAACCTATTCATTTATAGGTATGAGATAAGTTTTGGCTTTGTAAATGTAACCAGCTAAATAAAGGATAACATTGAATATGAGGAAGACCATTAATAAATCTTCTGAACTTTACAGAATATGAAATGAAACCATAACATCCAGTTTCTCAGCACTGGTTTACTCATCAATTTTGTTGAGTTATTATTAACATTTTTAAAATTTCAGTTTTCATGTGTATTATCTGGTCATCATGAGAAAATAGAAACTGACTGCTAAGATACATTTATTAATTAAGATATCTGTGTAGCATCAAAACAAAAAAGATGACATACAAAAAGACAACTTGTTTTATTCAATTCTAAACTTAACCAATCAACAAAGATTTCAAATACAAAATAAATCTGAATTATTCAGAAGTTTGGAAAACATGGTAAAATACAAGTTGAAAGCTTGCCTGTACAAAGTCATTTTATTTTTTTTTTTTTTTTTTAAAGTGAAATGAAGATGATTTGTTTTAAATATTTAAAATGTTACATATGGTCATGTTTTAAAAATCAAAAGCCTTACAAGAGTTTCATTATAGACAATTAAAATACATTTAACATTGATAAACATCGTTTGTAAATTGCTTAATAGGCTAATGAAGAAAATGTACATAGGTATGCATGTATGGGCATTTTTTTTTCTACAATATGAACAACAATACTTCTAGGGATAAAATGAAGAGTCATGTGTGTATACATATTTTTGTATGGATACACACAGTTTCGTAGATATGCAAGTGTAAATGCATGAAATGAAATGCAAAATCTACAATTTTATGTTGATTAGAATGGAGAGTTGTCAGACACGCACTTTTTTTTTAGCCGTGATTTCCCTGGTCTCCTCCGCAGTTTCACTGTAAGACTGTATCGTAGATCCCTTCATTGGAAGCCACTTCACAGGGAAGAGAGAGACGGTGGCATTAGGAGATGTGGGCACACATCAGAAGAAAAAAATGTTACAGCATTCAATTTTGTCAGACTTGCTGGCAGTAGCAACTTAAATAGACAAGTTAACTCAAGAGAATAAACTTTGCCTTGAAAAAGAAAAAGTTTCAAAGAAAAAAAAAATGTTTCTTTAATGCAAAGATTAAAAAAAAAAAGAAATCTATGTTTGGTATTCTTTTTCTTTTTAAGAGTACAATTAACACAACATTATTCAATTTTATAGTGCTGATAAAAATATGTACAATTAGATAAATTATCAATAGTTCAATAACTTTAGTCCTCTTTGAGAATCTATTTTTAGTTGGCAATTTATGAATTGGTTATACAAATTGAAATGTTTTATTTGCTAAGTGACTAAAATAAATATGGAATGCTAGTCATCAGAATGTCCTGTTAGCAGGATTTAAACACTCAGCTGGAACATACTAAAGTTTAGTGTTAATAAATTAATAAAAATACTTAAAAACTAGAGAAACTGCTTAAGTAATGGACAATGAATTACTAAAAGAATAGCTGATTTATGTTGTCTTACAGTGCAAAGATCAAACTATCATAAAGAGACCAAAGATTGAAAATTTATAAGAGTTATTTTGTATCTGAATCCTGATAATTGGTCTAATAAAATAAAAATATTTAAAGAGTAAAAAAGGTAATCATAAGCAAAATGTAGTATGTGGCCTTAATATAAGTTCCCAACTTCTTTCATAAATTTACTACTTATGTAACATCAAAAGCAGTCTATTTTATTAAACATAGTAAAATTAAAACCCTATTCTCCCTTACAGATAAAATATGAAAAGTATGTTATGTATAAAAATGAAATCATTTTAAATGTTAAAATATTCTGAAAAATGGAAATTTAAAATCATTTTCTGTTCAATTGTAATAAGAAAAAAAAAAAAAGAAAAAAAAAGTATCAAACATAGATTTCCTAAAAGAAGCTGTATAATTTTTAATCCAATGTTTTTTTGTTATATATCTCCAAAGTCAATTTTTAACTGACAAAATTGATAGGCATTTTATTTGTTTTCTATTCCAGTTTACTTTCACTTTTATCCCAAACATGCCAGCAAAAATAGTTAAAAAAAAAAAAAAAAAAAAAAAAAAAAAAAATAAGCATTGCCTAAAACTGCATTTTTCTGGCATCTATTAAATTGCTAATAATCATAATCAAATCAGAAGTTGAAAATAGATCATAACAGGTTAATTACATAGCATTTATATAACCACAGGAGGGTTAGACATGGTAGAAGAAATACAGAAACATTTTGGGAACTTATTTCATTTTGAAAGTTAAGAAAACAATTTTAAAAAACCCAATATGAAAATGTGGCTTAAAATTTGCTATAAAAGAGTATTTTCTTTATATCTTTGCACCATTCACAATGTTATGGATATTTATTTTTAAAATTCCATTGGAGATGGGAAGCATAAAGTTTACATATTCAAATGAAGCATACATTTCTATTTGTTATTTAGGTTTTGACTGATCAATCCTGTTTAGACAAAGTTTTAAGTATGAAATCTGAATCCTATATTGTATTTTAATTTTTGCTTGCTTGCCCAAACAAATTAGAAAAAAAAAAATCTTCATGAACCTGCCAGGATATTATTGCATCACTACAATAATTTATTAAAGAAGTTTCAGACACTTCCAAAATAAATGTAATTTTAATACTGTTCACAAAAATTCAATTTAAAAGAAAACATTTAATATTGGAATATACACGTTGACATCTATCAAATTTTTTTATATAAATTTTGCTTATAAGCTAATATGGTAAATCCAAGCATAACAAGTACATTATTCAATAACAACAATATTTTAATGCATATTTATATACAACACAAACATTAATAAAATGTAAGTATCATACTGATGTTGGAAAGAATATTTTACTCGCAGCAGTGGACAAAGGAGGTTAACAAATGTATACCTCTTACACAGCTATAGCAATAAAATGGAAAAAGTTAGTTTGTTTTCTTTATAATATTTAGAAAAAAGAATATATATTATAAATTAACAAATAAAAATATAATATTATAAATACATACACTAGATAAAAAAAAATGTTGGCATGTTTAAGAAATTTATGCTGAAATAGTAAAAACTAAATGTTTAACAAAATTTGGGTTAACTGTTCATTTTTACACTTTAATAAATATCCTCTTCCTCAAAAAAGAAATCCATCTGTGCCCATAGTTTTAATGAAATGTACTGGGTCAAACCCCCTAACAGTATTAAGTAAAGAAAGAATAAAAAGGAGAGGATTTGGATTTTAAGACCAGGTCCCTAGTGGCACAATGTGTTGGCAGTGGCACCTAAACCAAAGTACTTTCTGCAACATCTGAAAAAGAGAAAACTTCTTACTTCAGTCAACAGCCTCTTCAGTCCATCCACTTGGTCCTCATTTGGGTTAAGCTCTCCACCTGGCCTGAAGAAAAAATAAAATTACAATTCAGAAACAACAGAGCTTAACAGACCTTTAAACAATGCACCATAGTGAAATTGAGATTAAATATTAAAATATAATTTATAAATGATCAGGACAAATTATAGAGCAAAAATTGGTGCCTAATAATTTCAGTTTTATAACCAAAGGCATTGCCATGAACTAATATACCCAAACTTACATGTAAAGCTCATTTTAAGAAATTTATCTACCATTCTAATTTTTCAGCTCGACCTTCTTTACAGAACCTTAGAATTAATATTATAGTTCTATTGGCTAGTTTGTTAAAAAAAAAAAAAAAAAAAAAAAAATGATGAATTAGGCATCATGTTAAATACTAAAAATGTTTTTTAAAAAAATAACAAAATGAAAACATTCACCCAAACTTTTTGTTTTGTTTTTTAAACAGGTTTTCAAATCTGTATTTAAAGTTATTCTGTAGATTTTCACTGAAATTACTATGTACACTGAACAAATACTATATTTCATGGTATATACAAGGAGATACTAAAATGTTCTCCACCTGATCAAAAAGGGGTTTTAAAAAATTCTGGGGTTTTTATTCATTTGGTCAATGGATCAATCTAACACTTTGAAAAAAATAAAAATTCAAAAAGGTGTATACTTAAAACTGTTAGCTTGTTTTAATTTGCATACTGCAGCATATTCTATTGTTGGGACATACTAGAAGACATTGCCTTTATACAGAAGATAAAAAAATCTTCAGAAATTGGCACAAGCTGAAAAAATACAACCATTTAAACAATTAAAAAAAAAAAGAAAAAAAATCAAACTTGTAAAATTCATAAAAAGGATACTTACAATAAACTCCTTTTGGCTTTAAATTATCAAATTCTGACAACTAGTAAATCTTTATTTATTTTGGCAAAAAATGTAATTATGTTTCTACAATAATATTTTATAATATTTTACCTTCAAAAGATAAGGCATCAATTTATCAGTTTGCAATGTATTTTCTATTTTTCATTATAGGAAACTACATTGCAAAATTTTATATTGCAGAGAAAGAAATTGATAATTTTACAACACAAGGAAAATTACCATCATGGCAGACCTGAATGCCAAAACCAGAAAGGATCAATAAAGTGAAATAGTTGACAAGTTCAAACTAAGAACCTTTAAGGAATGCTGTGAAAGGTAAATCTTATGGTGCACAGCAAACAACCAAATACAAAAACAAATGGTTTCAAGCAAAGTCAAGACAGACATGGACAAACCTGGGAGGAGACATAAAAAATTAGATAGATTACATAATAATCAACAAAAGATTCAGAAATGCAGTTTTAAATTGTAAAAACCTATCAAAGTGCAGACTGTGGGATTGACCACCTTCCAGTCATATGCAAATCCAGAATAAAATTGTAGAAATTAAAGACTAAAGCAATGCCTAAAGTATAATATAACAGACTCCTGAAAGAGTCATAATGCAAAGAGACCTCTCTTGACAGTTAAAAGCAAATATAACTTGGATGAACCTGGAAATTAAAAATGGAACATATTGAAAGATGAACTATCAATATCAACAAATGAAATCGCCCCAAGGCAAATGAGACAAGAGGAAAAAAAGAAATAGAGGAAACAAAGTTCTCAAAATTATGAAAAAGAGACATAAAACAATATCAAGGTACAGATTATACGAGAAACAAATACAAACGGAAAAAAATGGAATGATTTAACAAAAAAATAGAAAGAATGAGCATCATGGATAAAGTAAATATGCAGAAGAGAATAAAGGAATTAAGGTGTGCTCATCAACAACTTGCATAAAATTGAAAGAGGGAACTGTGATAATGGGGGTAGGGGAAGGAGAAAGAAGGAAATACTCCAAAGACAGAACAAATACATTGGGGGTGAGAGAGAGAGAACCTGCAATACACAAAAAACATGAAAGTTTGAAGTAAGATCAGCCCTGGACAAGATGCACAAGAACAAAGCAAAAGAACCAAATGTGACTTAATAAAAATGCTCTCAGCCTTAGACAATTTTAGTATAAAAAAAAGATTAGGGTAATAATAAATGAAATATCAGTAAAACCATCTATGCAGTGCTGCCTATGAAAGAAGATGCAACTGAATGCAAGCTCTATCAGACAATCATCTTAATGACCTACATAACCAAGATTTTAATCTGAATTCTGACGAATGGAGTACAAAGTAGAATTAGACTGGAAATAGGACAAGAACAAAGTAGTTTTATCAAAGATACTGGAACAAGAAATGCTATATTTATGAGCAGAATGCTTTTGGAAAGAGAGAAGTGCAGATGGGTGTATACTCATTTCATAGATTATACAAAAGTATTTGATAAGGTATGACAGAGGTGTCTGTTTGAACTGCTAGGAAAACTTGAATTGGGAATGGTGTTTGAATAATCCAACACTTATACTGAGAACAATCTATCCACATAGAAAATAAATAAAGTACACAAAAAATAGGAAAAGAATGTACTACAAGATTGTCTTCTCACCAGATCACCTCCAAAACTCATGATGACCAGAGATTTGCAGCTGATCTCTCCTCAGTTCTAGCTCTAACATCTCAGTAGGGGCTAAAACTGACCGGTTAGATTCAATGTCTTGAAAACCAAATTGATTACATTCCAGCATGACAAATCGGACCCTGAACTACCACTAATGATGAATGGATGTTCCCTCAGAGAGGCCCCATGTCTTGAGTGACTATTGGGCCTTAGACTGAACCCAAACCTCATAGAACTCATAATACATTTCTAAAGATGTAGGAAAAATGGCTGTTACATGGTACTACTCAAGCAAATACCCAACTCCTCGTGCTATCCTCTAACTTTACAAGAGTCAGATCAGGTTTAAAATAGAATACTGATGTCATATTTGGGCAGGAGCTGCCCAGTCTTCACTTTCCAGTTTTGATAGAGTCCAAAAGCATCTCCACGTCCTTGTCAGTGACAAATTATTTTCCAACCTCCAACCCCTCATGTAGCAAGCATCTCACTGCTCTATCATTACTTCCATAGAAAGTGCTCAGATGAACTACATTTCTTAATTCCACCAGTTCTAACCTTCACGACTAGGACCTGCCATGCTACACACCTTCTGCCAAACCACCCTCACTCACCCTGTATTCCATTGGTGAAAAGTATATTCCACTCAAGCAGCTTCTTTCCATGAACCACTACTCTGTGGAACCAACTCCCAACAAGATGTTTTCCCCGATCATTACAATCTTAACCTGGGTCATTCCATCTCAAAACACCAGCAAAAAGTCGAAATCTGCACCCACCGACACCGAATTACTTGAAATTTGGCACAAATGTTCCCCTTCATGAGTTAGGAAAGTGTGCCAAATTATTTTGTGCTAAACTTTACCGTTCCAATTTTAGGGGGGGGTATAATTTTCCTATTTTGCCTCTAAATTAAAAGGCCATGATAATGTCGCAATTTCAGTGTTTTTAAAAATTAAAGAAAAATACTTCCATACCTTCAATATTTATGAAATTAGGTATGTAGGGCAAATGAGAAGTGTAGAATCCAAATATTTAACTATTTCAAGCCTACACTTGATAGAAAATTTTATTTTGCTCATCCTAATACATGACCCCAAAATCAACAACTTTTCACCTATGTATCTTACAGTCAGTCTAACAAAAATATGTCCTCTTCAATTTTCATAATATTTTTTGCCTAACATCTACAATGCCTGCTCAAGTTCACCAAAAAGCTTTGTGAGGGTTTTATGTCTACTTTAGAAGATATGACCCTGCCAAGTTTAGAGTTTTTTCCTACGTATGTGCAGGATTTCCAAGAAAGATTATAATTAAAGACAATCATCCTAATACTCCATGACCTCTAAAATGTTGATATTGTACTAAGTAACTTCTTAAACTATTCAATAAGATTGTTTTTATTAATTTAAAAAAAAAATTATTTAAATATATTTTGCAGATATTACTTTTTGTACAGATAGATTGTCTTTAAAAAGTGGTAAACATTGCCTCATGTATGATAATCAACAGTGCATAGAAAATTTCTAAATGGCACTTAACAAATGAAGTTAAAAGAAATTCTTTCTGTTTGTATTTCTTTTAATTTTATTTTGGTAAATTATTTTCATGAAACAAAAAAAACAAAAACATTTGATTTTTTTTTTTCATTTTTTAAATAATTTTTCAAAATTATTTTCATGAAACAAATATTTGAATTTTGTTTCATTCAGAAGAAAATCATAATAAAAATGAATATACAAAGAGTCTTTAAATGATTACATTTTAAACTATACTATGCACTAAATTTTGTTGTGTATGTAGACTAAATTGTTTTGGATATAATTTTTTGCAAAGATAATTTATCCATCTTGCACAAATGATAAACTCTTCCATTTATTGTTGGAGGAACATCAACAGTGCACAGAATATTCATTAATGGTACAAAACACATGAATGTGAATCGAAGAGCTGGGTGCATGGACTTAATCAGCATGTCCTTATTCTCCATATCAATTTCCTGGACCATGCCAATCCAAATTTTATTGTCGCACTTGCAACAAACATATCCTGAAACAAAAGAATTTACTGGTTTTTCTTCAGTCCCAATAGAAAAGTCATATATTAGGTCATAGTTTTCATCTTTGCTACATTGTTTCATAGCTATTTTATCTCTGGTGAGTGGAATAAATTGATGAAAACTTCGTTTCTGGGACTGTGGATGGATTTTCAAATCTCATGGTCAGACTCCTCCTCACTTCCTCAACTTTTTCCTTTTCAACCAGAATGAATTTTATACCGTCAATTGCAGATTTACAATATTCAAACATAGATTCTGTGGAAAGGATTTGTTTGGTAGTTGGTCTTCGGAGACTTTTTTTGACACTATCCTTTTCACTGTCCCACTTATGCCATCACACGGTTGTTTACCATGACTTGGTGCAAAGAAATTCCATTTTGCATTGAGCCTCAAATCTTTCTGATGGTTGCACAAATTGGCAAAG